GGGCATAGATCAACAAGGGGAACTCCCCCTTCCATGCCCAGCCAGGTCTCGGTGATACCAGCCAGGTCCGCTCCCCCCTCTTGAATGAGCTCTTGAATGAGGGGGGCCTTATTTACAACGGACCTGGCGTTGCATAACATCAGCCGATGATCCCGGGCCCGAGGATCTAAAGTCCCTGGAAGTCGAGTAGAGCCCTGAGGATCGGAGCACCCACAAGCTTGTAAGCAGCGTGTGCGTGCTCCCAAAACCCGATATGGTCCTCTGCTTCCGCCATATCTGCCCCTCCCACTGACCGTACCAATCACACCACCCTCTATTAACCCCCCAGTCTCCTCCCTCACCGTTCCACGCCCCCCAGACTGGACTGGCCTTGGCCTCAGAGAGGGCTCCCCCAAGTCCCCTCGGGCCAACCCCGAACCCCCTAAAAATTTAATAAAACACCCCTCTAAGAAGACTCGCAATTTTCTTCTCCTTAGTTCCCCAATTGCTGTATGCCACCTCTCGGGGTTCCACACCCCTTCATTGAGGCAGGCCCTTGAGATGGTATTAGGCCATGCCTGCGCGATGGGGGAATCGCGCAGGGCCAGCAGTTCCTTCCTGGAATACAGTCCAGTCCACAACAGGAAGTCCAGCAGCAGAGTAGGGGGGGGGAAAAGTCCTCATGATGGTTATCTTGGTCAGGGGCTTAAGATGGATGAGGAGAAAGCAGCAGCAGTTTATTGTTCTTGTTGTCCCCCATAGGGGGGGGAATGTCAAAGTCAAAGTCAGCCGGGCCCCAACCGCACAAACCTCCAGGTCCGCGCCGGGCCCACACCATCTCCACAGAGGCCGGCCGCAAGATCTTCTACTGGAGGGCCTCAAACCCAAAAACAGCCCTCCCCCGGCCCTCAGCCTCCATGAGGCGTGGGCCCAGGCGTTCATGCTCGTCTGGCACTCACCGCCAGGCCCGGGCGCACTCCACCAGGCCCCGTTCCTCCACCAGGCCGAGCCCTTCGGGGCAGATCCCCCGTCGGCGCCTGGGTCCTCCACCAGGCCGCGGCCCTCAGGCAAGCTCCTCCCTTGGGCCGCGGCCTCCGCCCGGGCCACTGGGCCGGGCCGTCGGGCCACGTCCTTCACCCGGGCCACTAGACCGGGCTGCCAGGCCACAGAATAAAGCAATATTTCCTGTTTGTTCCTCTGAGTTATCTATCTGTTCCAGACTGAAAGAGCAAGTTTCATGTCCAGAACAGTATAGGGTCCCTGCATTCCCCCCCATGGAACTCCCCCTCCCCCACTCACCTCTCCGGCCAAGCACGGAATCTCTCTGGAGAGCCTCGTAGTTGTATCGGCAGAAGGAATCCACTTGGGCCTTCCGGAACTGCAGCTTGTGCTTATCTCTGTTGAAAGCCTCTGCCTCCACCTTCCCCAACGCCGTGACGGCCTCGTACTCACCGCGGGCGCTGTCGAAGCGGAGGATCTCCTGCCGGTCGTAGAAGGTCCTGTACAGGAGCCTCACCCGCCGCGTCCCGTTGGAGAAGCGGCACTCGGCCTTCGTCTGGAACAGGAAATGGGCTGCGGGGAGGAGGAGGAGGAGGAAGAGCGTCAGGAGGGACTCCAGGGCCCATGGTTCCCAGCATCTTCTAGAGGAGGGACACGGGCTTGTCAGAGGAGGGGAGGGAAACCTGCCGGGAGAGGCTACTGGAAGGCGCCCCCTGGAGGAGGGATGGGGAACCGTCGGTCCCAGCGGGATTCCCCCTTGGTGGGGATCGGGAGAGGGGAGGAAAATGAGGGAGGGGAGGAGCTTCCTGAGGGACCGCCTCCTTCTCCCGAGGGTGGAAAAAGGCAGGCAGAAGTTCAGCTGGTCCAGCACTCGGACTACCTGTCTGCAAGGAACGTTGGATCCCGGTGGGGCCTCTTTGCCCCCCAAACTAGCAGGAAATATGGGGGGACGGAAGAGACCCCCTCTGGGCTGGATCCACGCTTCCCTCTCCCTCTTCCTTTGGGGCGGTTGGGGAGGGGACACAATCAGGATACCCACACCCATGCTCCTGGGCTCTGCCTGCCCTTCCAGCCCCACATTCCCTTTTCTTCTCCCCCCCTTGCCCCCATCTTCAGCGCCACAAGCTGCCTTTGGATGATTTTCGAGGCTTCTTTCCTGTCCCCTTCCCCAAAAGACCCTCCCTGCAGTCCCCCAAGGCCACCTCAAAGGGAGGGGCCCCAGCCCCCTTCACTAAATGGATAGTTTGCAGGAGCAACTCAGATCCCCCCCCAATATCCCTCCCAATAGAAGCGGAGAAGGCGAGGGAGGGGAAGATTTTCAGTCTTGGGGGCTGCAGCTTTAGAGGGGTCTCAGGGGAGTTGTGGACTTCCTTTTTCGCCCCCTCCCATGACTCTCAACCACAGTCCCCCTTTCTCTGTCTGCCTGGAAGGGTGGACTAGATGCCCCTTTAAGCTCCCTTAAGGCCCCCCATGGGGAGTCCAGGCTGGGTCAGCGGACACTTCGGAAGGGCCGGGGGGAGCCGAAGGGGGGGTCTCTCCGGAAAGTCTCCCTCCCCCTGGTCTCAATTGGCCCAAAGGGGCTTTTCCAGAAGGCAGCTGGACTTTCCTGGTTTTTTTCCTTTGAAGACGTTTCGCTTCTCATCCCAGAAGCTTCTTCAGTTCTGACTGGAGGGTGGAAGGATGGACATTCCTTGAGGTCATTTTGAAAGTCGGTCACTGATTCTCTGAGGTTCCTTGAGGACCCCCAGGGCTTTATCTGGGCCCTCAGGGTCCCCTGAATTGGTGGGGGGCAAAGGGGTGGGGAGCCTTACTGGGGCTGCTGAAAGGACCCCGTTGGAGGCAGGAGATGGGGGGGTTTCTTTCCCTCCCCCTGTTGTGGTGCGGGAGGGCTGCTCAATTTTCATCTACACAGCTTGGGAGTGTGTGGGTCCTGGGGAGAAGGGAACCCCCAGATTCCCTAGTTATCCCCCAAATTTTCTTCCCCCCCGCAACTTCAGTCCTACTAGCTGCCTTTGCGTGATTTGGGGGTTCAGCCCTCTTTCCTGTCCCCATGAAGCCCCCCCAAGACCCTCTCAAAGGGAGGGGCTCCAGCCCCTTTCACCAAAGGGCTAGTTTTGGGGAGCCAATTTAGGGGAGCAATTCAGACCCACCCCAATATCCTTCTCCCTCAGTTCCCCCCTCCCCTCCAGGTCCCGATTCAGCAATGGGGGGAATATGGGGTGGGGGGTTCTAGGTCTCCTCCCCAAATTCAGAGTCTCCCCCAAGAAGGAATCCAAGCTCAGCTCTTCCCTCGCCTTAAAAAAACGATTCATAAGAAAAACTGAGGTTGCAAAAACACTTTTGCCAAAAAACCCCTCTTTTTCTTATACATTTGCAGTGGCGTAGCGTGGGTTGTCAGCACCCGGGGCAAGGCAAGTAATTTGCGCCCCCTAACCCGTGGATTTTAGCACTCGAGTCTCTTCCACTAGACTTAGAGCGAGAGAGAGGCAGAAAGCGAGCC